CGAGTTCGGCAAAAGGCGGATTCGAACTCGGGTCGATCGCGTCAAAAATCTGCACTATGCGTTTTACCACTTACGCCAATGGAGATGTTCTTTGACAGCTGTCTTTTGTAATTTTGTCTAGCCCAATCACATGTTGGTGGGCGGAGTTAGTGTAAATAGCCTCTGCCAACAAGGCGGGATATTTGCACTTAGTGTAAATAGACACTCCATTTTTTTTTCTCATTATAATTAACTCTTGATGACTTCATCTTTGGCATTCCACCGAAACAAAGTCAGCATGAAAATTCACCCTATCTTTATTCATTTATTTATTTGACGGTGTAATGCCGTCAAAATGTCTTAACTTCTATCTTCCCTTGAAAAGATATCTCAAAACCCAAACATCAACCAATGGACAGAACCAAGCTGGCACCCTACATTTTTTGCTTTTTTTGATAATCTGTTTCACACTTACGTCCATCAAAATACTAAAGAAAATATAATGATGCAAAATAGGATTATGTTACAGAAAAAAATAATTCATGAAAACAAATGCAAATTTAATACTCCATTATTGCCGAGTCATCCTCCTAATCTGTGTAATTAATTGGTCAGCTTAATTCTGCTGTAAAATAGCCTAGTAGAGTTTTCATAAACTAAACAGACAGGAGGGATATAGAGCAAATAATACAATGGTGATAGTAAGGACAAAAGCAGACATTTTGGCAAAGTGCTGCAGCATGATAAAGCAGGGGTGTGGAGGTCTTTTTGCATATGATTCTAGGTGTCAGATGACCCAAACTCCCCCTCAACCTGTACCAAAGGGAAAATGCTGATTCATTGTGGACTGGTTTAGAATGGATAATCTGTGAGAGAATGGAGGGAGGATTAACAAACCCCAGTACACCCGCTTAACTCTGCCACCCTCCGCACCCTCACAGCCATTGTGTGTGTGCCACAGTAAGTGATAGAGAACACAATTCTAAAGAGTGAGGTCAGTTGTTTGCTCTCAATGGTTTTTGGCTGGAGTGATTTCACACACACACACACACACACACACACAGACAGCACCCTTCATTCGACTGCTGAATAAGCACTGGGTTCAGACAACCTTCAGCTGAACTGCTCTCTGTTATTGCCAATCAAGTCAGACAGTATCAACAGCTAGAGACACGTAGTTGCAAAACTGGAAAATTAAGAGTTGTTTCTGTTGACTCATTAGGACTTGATTTGTATTCTCAGCTACTTGCTCGGCAAAATGCTGCTCACACAATAGGAGCGTTTACTTTAAAAGATGCTTTTTCATATGAAAGTGTCAGCTGTACTTTTTATCTTTCAATATAGGAATTTCAAAGTACTTTAACTTATTTATTTGTAGCTCTTAATGTGGCTATAATGCAAGGTTTTACCTATTTTATTGCATTTTATCACTGTTTGAGACTTGACAGGCTTTGTGTTTTTGAGTCTTTCACCTTTCTGAGGGAAGGGAGGGTCTTCTTGTGGGTGTGTTGTGGAGTCTGCCTCCTTTCCCATCAGACTGGGAGTCCCTCAAGCTTCCTGTGTGAGGAAGGGGGTCTCCATGTCCTCCTCCACGACCTCCACCTCGCCCCAGATGTCCACGATGGTCGGGCTGTCTCAAAGATGTCCTTGGCCTTGCTATGAAGGAGATGAGACAATATCTAAATCAAAAAAGTCAAATATATAATCTAATATATAAGACTGAAAATAACACGCATATAATTCCAGGCCTATTTCCTATCTACAGAGACAGAATTTGAAGCATTCGAGTGTCCTGTGACCCTTTTACAGTGCTTTGTAATGACAGGAATTTCCTTGAACAACCATTTCTATCAACATACTGCAATTAAAGCACACTTTCTCACATGGACACTATTATTGCTGGATTACACTGTGTCTTTACCGGGTACTAGAAAAACAAACAGAAACCACTATAATCAGTGGTTCTGTCTACACTGCATGCATGCCACGACGAGTCACCGACAGTAAAATGATGCAGTAAGCAGCATTTTCTAACAATAATATCAACAAGATGAAAAAAATGTGTATATCTCTGATTGTCAGAAGACAATAAAGGATGCAAACCCACCATAAAAGTATCATAAAATTGGTCCATACGACTCATATGTTCTAAAGCCATACAACAGCTTTGTGTAACAAACAGACTACAATGTTGTCGTTTTTTTCTCCGATGGGTTGTTAACTGCTGTGATTGGATCTCTGATCAACGAGTCAGTGAGTGGAACCTGAGACAATATCACTCTGACTCATGCTGTTATTTTCAACCAGATCAATGGATTAACTGAAAAAAATCCAACTCAAAAGAACAATTTGTTCACAAATCAAATATTACATGCTTCTCTCATAAAAACATATGTCAGACGAATGGCAATATTTTTAGTGAACTGTGACTTAGATATCTGTCTGTTCTTCACACAAAACAGTCATATAGCTTCAGAAGACTTGGAATATTGATAACAGTAATATGGACCGCTTTTATGGGTAGATACTGCTTTTGCTCGTTTTGTGCACCATTTCTCCTTTTTATTCCTTGGAAGAAAGACAAACACACATGTTGGGAACAACATGGGAGAAAGTAAAAAGCAACAGATTTTTTTTTTCTCTGATCTCTTTAACAAATCCTATAGAAACAACAGAACAAATACTATTTTTATAGAAACTACAAAAATATCAGCTTGTGCTTAATCCTTTAATCAAACAGATGAAGCCAAACACTGTAAGCTAGATCAAACATATATCATTGCACACAAATCAGTTTAGTTAACAGACAATCTATAAGGTATAACTCTGCACATTCTCCAACTAGATAACCATGAAGTTTCTGGAAGTCAGCATAATCACGAGAAATTAGAACATGCACCAAAATATTACTCTCCTCTTTACACATAGCATTTGAAATGCAACAGCAGCTGCAAACTAGTCTCGACTAAATAACAATTACATCATACTCACACTGTGTCAACAGGACTTCAAACCCATTTTCTCTCATACACATTCAATATGACATCATTCCACTAACCTGACTGTAACAGAATGACATCATATCATCCAACCCGGCAGTAAACTCAGCCGACTGCTTGCTAACAGCGCAAGCCGTCCAACCGGTCTAGCGTGGAAAAGTGGCAGCAATTTAACACCTTATCACTGTCTACAGCCCTCCTGAGATAAGCGCTCCACAGGCTGATCGTTTCTGCAAGACAGCGGATGGTGAGCTAAGTAGAACAGAAACAGGCAGAGCATCACCACAGCAGCGGCAGTTGAGTCATTAAATAACAGATGAGGAGAAAAAAAAGAAACGTTTTCAGACAATCCTCCCATGAACAGTCACGCAGGCTATGCTGTACCTCTCCACAACACCGCAGTCTCCAAACCTCCCTCTAGGTCAATACAGATGCCCGCTTTCTGCTGTATCACGGCAAGCCAAGTAAATACTGAGTCACTGATCAAGGGACAGCGTGAGCGCAGAAAACCCTGAAGCTGACAGTGAGTTTGCAGCTCCCAGAACAGCCGCAACCTGTAATCTGAATGATCTAATGCAGAGCTTTATTCTTAGTACATCCAGAACTGTGCTCACATCCTCAGAGGAGTTTAAATAGGCCACACGCACAACCAAAAAAGACACGGGATGCACAGGACACTAGCATACATTCTCTTTAAAATGTCTCATGGATAACATGTTGCATTCACAGTCACATCTAACAAAACTGTAAACTAAAATATGCTTTAATGTAACTTCTACTGAAACTTGCATTTCACGTATTTGTAATTATACCTGTTTGTAAAGATTATGTTGAAATGTAGTACATTTCAAATATATTAACTATAAATGTAGCATTGCATAACACTACAGTTAAAATTATAATGAAGTACTTTACATGTGCTTTCGACAACAAATCAAAATAAATGTACTTCTTTAAAGCATGGCAATAGATTATTAAATTAACGATTATTTCAAATGTGCTTTTAGCATACATTCTCTATGTGTGACCCAGAACCACTAAACCAGTCATAAGGGTCAATTTTTCTGAATGCTGAATAAATAAGCTTTCCATTGATGATTGTTAGGACGGGACAATATTTGGCCGAGATACAACTATATGAAAATCGGGAATCTGACGGTGCAAAAAAATCAAAATATTGAGAAAATCGCCTTTAAAGTTGTCCAAATGAAGTTCTTAGCAATGCATATTACTAAACAAAAATTAAGTTTTGATATATTTGCAGTAGGAAATTTACAAAATATCTTCATGGAACATGATCTTTACTTAATATCTTAATGATTTTTGGCATAAAAGAAAAATCAATCATTTTGACCCATACAATGTATTTTTGGCTATTGCTACAAATATACCCCAGCGACTTAAGACTGCTTTTGTGCTCCAGGGTCACATATAATGTATTCTGAATAACACTTTAAAGTAAGAGTTGCATGCACAGTCATATTTAACAAAACTAATCAGAGTCTCACCATTCAGTGCAAGAGGAGCTGCTGGTTTGACTCTCATTTGACAGTTCACCACTTGAGGTTGGCCGGTCCTCTTAGCTGTGCGCTGACGGGCCGCAAGCTTAGCTACGTGGGTCATCTCGTTTCCTGTGGTAGCATGGCATACCACCTATGGGTTTTTAACCATTTAAAGTTTTAGTATTCATGTATCCCTGCTGAATAACTGAATTTCAAAAGGTAAGGGAGAGACTTACCTCCCCAGACTGCCCTTTATCCAGTTTCACGACCGAAGGCATGCTGTGCAGGAGGGCATCCAGCGTGGCATACCCCAACTGTTTATAAGGTATGAGCTCACCCGTCAGGTCTTTATACTCTACCTGCAGGTTAGACAGTGACACGCCACTCTTAGCGGACTGGAGCACTGCCCGTACCATCTTCTTCACCAGTTCCTCATCTGCCATCTGAAAAACAACAAGGAGACACTACTGTTCAAATGTTTGCATTTGGTGAGATGTTTTAATTTTTTTAAAGAAGTCTCTTATGTCACCACTTGAGGTTGGCCGGTCCTCTTAGCTGTGCGCTGACGGGCCGCAAGCTTAGCAACGTGGGTCATCTCGTTTCCTGTGGTAGCATGGCATACCACCTATGGGTTTTTAACCATTTAAAGTTTTAGTATTCATGTATCCCTGCTGAATAACTGAATTTCAAAAGGTAAGGGATAGACTTACCTCCCCAGACTGCCCTTTATCCAGTTTCACGACCGAAGGCATGCTGTGCAGGAGGGCATCCAGCGTGGCATACCCCAACTGTTTATAAGGTATGAGCTCACCCGTCAGGTCTTTATACTCTACCTGCAGGTTAGACAGTGACACGCCACTCTTAGCGGACTGGAGCACCGCCCGTACCATCTTCTTCACCAGTTCCTCATCTGCCATCTGAAAAACAACAAGGAGACACTACTGTTCAAATGTTTGCATTTGGTGAGATGTTTTAATTTTTTTAAAGAAGTCTCTTATGTTTCTTAAGGCTGCATTTATCTGATCAAATTTACAGTAAAAACAGTAATATTGTGAAACGTTATTATTTAAAATAACTGTTTCAATGTAGTTTCAAATGTAGTTTATTCCTGTGATGATAAAGCTGTGTTTTCAGCAGTCATTAGCCTTCAGTGTCACATGATCCTTCAGAAATCATTCTAATATGCTGATTTGGTGCTAAAGTAACATTTCTTCTTATTATATTGAAAACAGTTGTGCTGCTTAATATTATACATTTCTTTGAGAAAGTTCAAAAGAACAGTATTTATTTGAAACAGAAATTGTTAATCGTACCAATGTAAAAGTCTTTACTATGAATTTAATGCACCCTTTACTGCACTAAAGTATTAGGCTAGTTTCTTCCAAAAAAAAAAAGTTGCCCCCAAGAGTAGTGTACCTTTAAACTTGATACCAATAAAACAATTTTGCACCAACAGATCACTGTAAAGCCACATTGGCAGAATAAACAGTGCTAGGTGGTCAGAGGTCACACAACTGTTAATGGGTTTATGAGTCCTGCATCGATCTTCTTTATGCTAAAGAATGTTATTGATTACAACACATATAAAGCTACTGGACAATCAATGACCATATCTGATAGCAGACAAACAGTTAAATATGTTTTAGAATAGATCTCATCAAGTCTTGTTTATCCAAACTTAACATCGGCAGGTAAGAGTATGCAACTGTGGTACTACTGGCATTTCATGTCATTTTAATTTTTTGGTATGGGCAAAGTGGTATTGCTGATGTGACTAATGAATTGAGCAAAGCACATTGCCTTCTAGACTAGCCGGTCACAACCAGACAGTTAAAGCTGCACAAATGGATCATCTCATAACACACTGTTTATTCGTTTTATGGCCAGTCAGAATGGCTTATGTTCAAGAAAGCAAGAGCCAACACCAGCAGTTTAAATCAGCAAGTATCCATAGAAACCACTTACAAACCCGTGTGAATGAGAAATACACTTGAGCATACTTTTAAAAAGAGTACTTATTATGGAAATAATACACCTCAAAAGAATATATTTAACTGTGAACTGAATGTAACGTTTTCAAACACTTAACTGTACATATAAACTGCATAATTATAGTTTATATTTATATTAAATACACTTAGCTGAACTTTAGAGTGATTTTTGGCCCACTTGAGTAGGATTACAATAAGCAGGCAAAATCTTTATATGTAATTTCATAATTACTTCTGTCTTTGAAATGTGGTTAAAGTCTTCTGCTGAAGTCTTCTTTAATGACAAGTATTTGTGGTAAATATACTTTAAAGTCATTTTTATTGAAACTCGTTTGTCATGTATGTCATATATTTGTAATTACGCATGTAATAATTAAATTGCAACTTAGTACATTTACAATACGTTACCTTTGTAATATTATATAACACAATACAGTTAAAATAACTATCAAGTACTTTACGTGTGCTTTAGTACTGCATGTTAGTCAACACATCAAAAGAAATGTATGTCTTTAAAGTACAACAAAAGAAAATACTATTAACAAATGTATTTACATTTTTATTTTGACATGACAAAGTGCCCTTTTAAAAAATGTACTTAAGTGTCTTTACACTCTAAAAAAATGCTGGGTTAAATACAACCCAGTGCTGGGTAAAATAGGGACAAACCCAGCAATTGGGTTGTTTTGACCCAGCGGTTGGGTTACTACCCAGAAGGTTGGGTTAAACATTTAATCAAACCGCTGGGTCAAAACAGCCCAATTGCTGGGTTTGTCCCTTTTTTACCCAGCACTGGGTTAGTTGAAATTTGATGTAAGTTAGTGTATTTACAGCAGGAAAGTTGACACAATGAGCATACATCATATTTACAGTGTACGCGTTAAAGAATTTCTCCAAATGTCTCACTATAAACATGTTTTAAATGTGTGTTCTGAAGTTTAATTTCACTTATTTGAACCTGGTGATTATTCGTGGTCTGTTTAGCTGACTGTCAATCAAAGTTACAGCAGTAGCTAGAAACTGATACTCGCGCGCGTCTCTCTTCCGCCAAAGCTGCTTAAATATAAAGCGTCGAGTTCAGATACTTTCACAATGTCTCAGCTCTTACCGCTCAATGGATGTGGGTCGGTCAGGCCGGGTTAGATGACAGTGACTGGCTCTGTGAGACTGGTCGCGGTGTCCTCCTCGCGGTTTGTCCCGCAGGCGGAGAGTGTGAGTCCCGTTGAGAGCTGCTCGCACCATCCCATCTGTAATTACACACAACGCGCATGCGCAGTACACACACAGCATAAGCAGGTACAAAAGACTACTGATGTATTGTATTATACTGTCCTTTTACTGTGTTTTTTTGGATTACTTTGTTATTGTTTTATCCTTTTAAACTTATATTGGTAGAAAAACGATTTCGTTGAAAAGGAAAAGAGCATTTGCTCGACCAAACGTACATTGAATCGCATTTTAACATTCAATACGCCTTAATTGCTATTTATTTGATTATATTTTTGTTACTGGAAGATCCAGCTAATAGCTAGTTCTAGCTGGTTCAAGCTGGTTATTAGCTGGTCAAAGCTGGTGGACCAGCTTGGCTGAGCTGGGGAATCATTTAGTTGTTTTGCAGGGGTGTGAAGTAACGAATTACAAATACTCACGTTACAGTAATTAAGTAGTTTTTATCAGTAATTGTACTTTTTTGAGTAGTTTAAAAACTGTGTACTTTTACTTTTACTTGAGTACATTTTAAGTGATGGATCGGCACTTTTACTCCACTATTTTCCTCCGTTCGTGGTCGTTACATGCTTATTTTAATTTTATTTTTATCCATCAACGTGATTGGATAGAGAGATAGTAATAGCGCAGCGTAGAGAGCTTCGTTTATTATAAATGTGAGATCCCGATGAGCTAAGATGAGTGACAGCTTTTAATGATTTTAAAGGAGTTTGTAAATGGGATAGTGATTTAATACAACAGTTAAATAGACAAGAAGTTAATATTAAGTGACTTACATTGTCTGACTAGAACACTATTGTCTGATTTTGCTCTATTTCGTCGTCGAAAATAGTTTTAAACAAAGTCACAGCTCAGCCGCAAACACAGCGGTGACTCGTTTATGAATGAACTGCGTTTTTGAACGAATCTAGTGAGTCAGTGATTCATGATTACCCATTCATAAAGACAGTCACTTGATTCATTCCTGAATGATTCAGCTGTTCGAATGAATCAATTGAATGAATGATTCAGTGATAAATTAAGTGACTTGTCGCCACCTGCTGGAGGATTCAGTTTCATTTTTAAAGCATCTGTTCAGTTCTTGAAATCATTTAATATTTCTATATTCAAGATTTTTTAAAACATTAACCTTAACATGAATTTATGGATTTAATTGCACTCATGGCCCCTCTGATCCTCTTTAAATGTCTGAAAGTACGCCTACAAGCCACTTTTGTGTTCTTCTGTGCTACCTCTGTAACAAATAGTGGACTCCGTGCTATAAGCTGGCTCTGTGGAGTTTTGCAACACACATTTGTCGTGCAACATGGTTTTTGGCACTTCAGGCTACCAACACTATTTGCATAACTAATGCTTAACTTGTTGCGTTTCGGACTGATTTTGACCATTCTTTGCGCCTTAGCTCGAGAGGATAGCCCCAAAGCCATTGGTGCAGGGTCTATGTTGACATCCAAGTCCCCACTCTGTGGTTGGTGCTGGCATGCCTGATTTTAGTATCCGTTCCTGTTTCAGACAGGTGATGAGTCTCATATGGCAGAGGTTTGGCCGAGCGGAAGTGGATTTGTTTGTTAAAAATAGAGCATGCGCATTGCCCGCTCTAGTTTCTTTGTCTCCTCCATTGCCTCTGGTTGTGGACGCTCTAGCCCAAGAATGGCCCAGGACCAGTCTTATGCCTTCCAATCGACCCGTTTGCTCCCAAACTATTCTGTTCAGTGTAAGGTTTGTCAGAGTGAACGTCTGTTGTTGGTGGTGCCGTTTTGGCCCACTCATACGTGGTTCTCAGAATTGGTCAGTCTGTTAGCCGGCCCCCTTGGGAGGTTCCCCTCAGACACGACCTGCTGACTCAGGTTCGGGGCATGATTTGGACATCCCCATCAGAATTTTTGGAATTAATGGGTGGGACCCCTGAGCAGAGTTGAAATGTGTTCCGGTCTCTTGGCAGAGATTACCGACACTACTCTTAATTCTAGAGCTCCCTCCATGAGAAGCTGTATGCCCTTAAGTGGACACAATCTGCTAGTTTCCCGTTTCATGCAGGGACGAGACAGCTTAGGCCTTTCCGCTCAGCACAGATTCCTTTTTGCGACTTATTTTTCGGTTGGAAGGCCTGGCAGGCCATCCATTTGAGCCGTTTAAGTCTGTCAGATAACTTTGAAACCTTAAGCAGTTTTTTGGTAATCCTATCCTCTCTTAGAGGACTGAGGATCTGCAGGCTCTGTCAGCTCCTCTTGTATGGACTTTGCCCCGAGGCTAGTTAAGTCTTATTGCTTCCTAGGCCTAGTTAATCCTAAGGCTGCTTTGACTCAGTTTTGCTTTCAGCAAGTGGTTGGAGGCTTTCTCCCCTGCTATGTGGGGTCAGATAGTGACTATACCTCTAGCCTATGAGGCGCGTGGTGTGACTTCGCCTCTAGAGGTGCGTGCTCATTCTACGAGAGCAATGGCTTCTTCTCAGGCACTTTTTAAAGAGCTTTTGATGGGAGATGTCTGTGCTGTGGCAGGTTAGTCCTCTACTAGCACTTTCATCAAGTTCTACTTGTCTGGACGTGAGGATGGCTCTTGGCTCCCGGGTCTCTTCCGCTTGAGCAGACTCTTTCCTCGGTCTTCCAGCTATCTTAGGTACGTCAGGCGAGATGGTATAGTCCCATAGCGATGACGTCATCGCAGCATTGAAGTGAACCTATGAGAGGGAACATCTCGGTTACGTATGTAACCTTCCCATCATGCCAATTTATTGGCCAATAGCGCTTAGCACCGCCCCAAGCATATAATTTCAAGCTGGGAATAATTTCAAGAAGGAATAAGCTGTCAATCATTGCATCAATTATAATTACTGCAACTGACATTTCTTGCCGGGTCACTTTGACCGATTACAATTTTTGAATTGTTGGAAATATTGGTTAATCTATATGATTTTGTGACTTATTCTCATTTATGATCATGAACATGCCTGCAAAAGATTTTGCTTTGTTGCTGTGGAATGTGCATACCAAATTTCAGATTTTGATGTTTACAGGCAACTACAATGTAATTAATTATTAATTTAATTAATTAATTAATTAACTACAATGTATTTTGATATGTCAGTTTCTCAACTTCCCTGTGAGGGTATTTACATTAGCAGACCCTTTTATCAAGAAACTTACACTGAAGGCATAGATATTTATCCGTTTGAATTGAACCCATGATCTTAGCGTAGCCATGCAGGGAAGCACACAGAAGTGGTGCTTGTCCACATTTGTTTTGTTTTTCAAAACAAATGTTAATAAAAAATAGTTACAGTACTTTTTATCAAGTTCACACAGGTGACAAAACAATGTTTATGAAATAGTTAATATTAAAAATCATATGTTAATGTGTTTATTTTATAATGTATGCATTATGAAAGCACTGAAGTTGTGTTATGGCAGCATTTTTGTTTTTAAAAAGAAACAACCTTGGCAAAAACCTTGGCACATAAGTTTGAGTTACTGATAAATGTTTATAGACTAGTGTTAATGTTTGCTGTTTTTGCCCGATTTTTCCCTTTTAATGGTTTTTGATGAACTGTATTGAAGCCAATTAGGGTCAATTTGACCCCCCCACCATAAAAACTGTACCCACATAATACAAGGGTTTTAAAACTCCACTTTCCTTTAGGCAACCAGAGAGGAAGGGGAAATGCTGACACTCTTCCTCTGAAGTTTTCTGAGTTCACCCAAATACACAGAGACACACCTACTAAGTTTACACTCATAAAACGGACCACCAGCAATTCTTTACTTCTTTACTCACACCGTGTGATTATTAACTTTTGCTGAAACTTTGCGTGCCAAGGTTATTTATTTTTAAAAACAAAAATGCTTACTGATGCCAAAATCACATAACACACACACACACACACACACACCTCCGACAGGTAATCAGGGAGTAGCTGGACCTATTGCCTGTGGTTCTGGACGTTCATTTTCTTTTCGCCTTCACCATTAAGGACATGAGTCCGTGCAGTCTTGTAACGTACGCTCTCAAAATCAGTTCCGCCACCTGTGCGCTTTTATTTGGTGACAGCGCGTGATCGACATTACCATTCGCGTCTCCTCTCGGAACTCTGACGGGATGTCAGCCGCGGTTCGTAGAAACTCGTCCAAAACCGGGAACGGCGTGGAGTCCGATCCGGATGGAATTCGGACGATACGCAGAGAGCTGTCGACTGAGTGCACACACAATGAATGGGATAATATCATGGAGTCTTCATCTAGAGGTAGGGACGCGGTTGAGCAGCACGAACAGCATAGAGAATTAAAAGAAAAAAGTGTTTCTTAACATATGTGATGCATTCGTATGTTAATGAACGTATGAAGTTGATCTTACGTTTTGAATAATTTGGCCATACATATTGCTCTGCCTGATAGGCTACTGGATTAAAAGCTCTATTAAAACGATTTATAAAATAGGCCTATGAAAATCGTATTTTTTTAAAATCACAATTTCTCAATTAGTCTAAGTGAACATATGGGAGAATTCTAAATAATTGTACACTCTAAAAAAAAATGCTGGGTTGTTTCAACCCAACTTTGGGTCAAATATGGACTAACCCAACTTTTGGGTTAAAAATGTAATGTAAAAATGTAACCCAACGGTTGGGTTAGTCCATATCTGACCCAAAGTTGGGTTGAAACAACCCAGCATTTTTTATGTTAATGAACGTATGAAGTTGATCTTACGTTTTGAATAATTTGGCCATACATATTGCACTGCCTGATAGGCTACTGGATTAAAAGCTCTATTAAAACGATTTATAAAATAGGCCTATGAAAATCATATTTTTTAAAATCACAATTTCTCAATTAGTCTAAGTGAACATATGGGAGAATTCTAAATAATTGTACACTCTAAAAAAAAATGCTGGGTTGTTTCAACCCAACTTTGGGTCAAATATGGACTAACCCAACTTTTGGGTTAAAAATGTAATGTAAAAATGTAACCCAACGGTTGGGTTAGTCCATATCTGACCCAAAGTTGGGTTGAAACAACCCAGCATTTTTTAGAGTGTAGTTCTTTGGTTTGAGCAGATGTTGCTCTCCAAGTGCTATGCAATGACTTCTAAGCACAGAAGAATGGAAATCTAAAATTCTAGGTATTTCTTGTTTTGGATCTTATGAACATTGAATCAGTTGGTAATCATTTGATTCAACTTTTCAGTGTCCTTCACGTTCCATTCTGTTATTCTTTTGTAAAATCCCTGAAACTAACAATGGCATCATCCCCCAGGAAGTGACACCACCATTTTGGTGGGAAAGCAACAGCACAAACTTCAATATATTAGTAATGGACAGTGTTGGGGGTAACGCATTACAAGTAACGCGAGTTACGTAATCAGATTACTTTTTTCAGGTAACTAGTAAAGTAATGCATTACTTTTTAATTTACAAGAGAATGTCTGAGTTACTTTTTTTTCCAATTTATTGATTGACAGCTCTGGTGTTGCCATGTTGAGAGAAATCAGAAGATGTTACTGTAGTTCTAAAATAAAAATGAATATGCATTAAATAATCTCACTCACACACAAAAAAACACAGATTGAGTATTCCTCAAAATTAATAAAACAATGCAACTCAGAATATGACGCAAACCTGCAATAATTAAATGTTAAACAACACAAATATGTAACGCAATATTGTAATGCATTACTTTTAAAAGTAACTTTCCCCAACACTGGTAATGGATTTAATGGATTCTGTGAGGTTTTGTGGCATTAACTGGTTTGTCTCTAAAACATTCAAAAGATCAGTTATGAAAGTTAAGTTGACAGCCTCGTAAGCTACCTGTATATCCTCAGCGGCTAACAGGTTTTCATTTCCATCCTGTTAGTTTGTTGTAAAGGTAGCCTAATTAAGTTAGAATTATTAACGTTTAAATGTCTGTAGATGACTATATGCATTTCTGAAAGGCTGTTGTAAAATTCCTTAAACTATGACACAATTATCTAGTAAAGTGTTCAAAAGGTAGCCTACAGCATTACAGAAATTTAAGGGAGTGTGTACATTTCTTTTCAGATTTTAAGACCTCAAGAGGAAGCATCAAAGGTACTTCAGGAGCTTCTGATGATAATATACCAACAGGTGAATCCAGCTCTCCATATCAAATGCTAACTACCACTTAGTACACTGTGACTGATGTGAATAAATCCTGATGACTTTGTAAATAGCCTCCATTGTCTTAATCACATAATAATCTCAAATAATAATAGAATACTGTGTAGAAGAACTGCCCAGAGTTGGCAGTTCTTGGTTTCCGAGTCAACTTATGTCATTCCAAACCTGTATGACTTAATGAAACATGAAAGAAGATATTCTAAATAATGTTGGGAACCCAACCGTTTTGGTGACCGTATCGTACGCTGAGAGATTTCTCAAAATATCTTCTTTTATGTTCCACAGTAGGAAGAGAAGGGTGAGTAAATGACAGCATTTCAGTTTTTTTGATGAACTATTCCTTTATTTGAACTCTGACCTGCTTTGGTGACACTCAAAAAAAGAGTAACTTTTAGAGATCATACATTGGACTTTACAAATCCCACTGACTGTCATTTATTAACCCTCTCTGTTAAACACAGCAGTGAAACGTCACATGATTATGGTAAAACACAAAATCTCAACTGCGGATTGAACCACGAATATTGCTCTTGAGATGAATGTTTTAGATTATAAGTGAATGGTAGATCTAGACCTGGAATTTACAGCAGTATAAAGGTTTGGTTTATTATGTCACCTTATATTAACTGACTGGCCTCTTTACATCACTAATTCACTTTCCTTACACATTTACTAGAGCTGACTGGAATATTTTCCATGTGTAGGCTGATCTGTTAGTGTTGGATGCAGTGGTAGATATAATGTTAACTATAAGCTGTTTCCTGTTGCAGTTTTGGCTATGCAGCTGGCTATGGTGGAGGGGCCAGATCGACTTCCTGCCGATGAGGGCACACAGGAAGTGCTTTGCAGGAAACTTTGTGTGCTCGAAGCTGACCTCTCAGGGGTCGTGACCTTGATCTCTGTATGGTCATCTCTATTCAGACCACATAAAATATTCAAAACTTTTCTGAAATGTATTTAACATACTTGCTTCCCTGTCTTGCAGGAGTTGTCTGCTCATTTTGTATCCATCAATAGTGAGGAAAGGACTATATTTATCACCTTTAAAACGCTTGAAGAAATATGGAAGTTCAGCACATACCACAAAATGGGTCTGTTCTTATTTCAGTGCCACAGATATAATGTTGTATGCTGTTTTGCATACTCTGTGCAGCACTTTGGTCGTTTTAAATGTGCTATATACAGTAAATAAACATTGTATTGTATTATTAATAATGTCAAGTACTGTAAGAGTCAGGTGCACTACCAAAAGTTAGATTTTTTATATGTTTCTTTAGTCTCTTATATATGCTCACCAAAGCTGCATTTATTTGATTAAAGATACAGTAAAACAGTCATATTGTGAAATTATTAGGATTAAAAGCATCGCATGATCCTTCAAAAACATGAAATGCTGATTTGGTGCTCAAGAAACATTTCTTATTATAATCAATGTTGAAGAAAAAAAACGTCTGCTTCATATTTTTTTGTGGAAACCATGATGCACTACTATTCAAAAGTTTGGGGTAAGATAGATTTGAGAATGAGAAAATTGAAGACACTAAGAATGTTACTGTTCTATTGAATTTTGTATTCATCAAAGAATCCAACATTGATAATAATAATAATAATGAAAACTGATATTAATAACTTAAGCACCAATAATAATTGAGCATCAAATCAGCATGTTAGAATGATTTCTGAAGGATCAATAATCGGTAGTGTATATTAAAAGATAATATCTCATAAGACTTACCAAATGTGTAATTTCCACCAGGCTTCTTGGGTCAGTGCATGGAAAACCTTCTCATGAACCAGGAGTTCTGGTTAATCTCCCTTGATCAGCATTCAGGAATTGAGATCTCAATTAAAGAAGAGACACTAAATCTGATGTATAAAGGCTTTCTAATGCAAGAAGGTAAATACATAGTGTTTATGCACACTATATACTTTATATTTAATTTCAGAAACAGACTGGCACACGTATGAGTGAATATCACTGCTATTTGTAGTAAAACAATATCGCTTACTTTTTAGGGTCTTTCTTTGGATGCTGCACAGCTAATCAGATGTTTGATAGCTCTACGTCAGGGAGCGACCTTTATCTGGAGAAGGGGGATATCGCTTTGTTTGAGCCTCCATTCCTAGGATCAGGGTGGACAGTGCTGTCACTTGCAGATGGGGCTAGAGGAACCAAACCAAAACCAGCTCTGGAACCGGTCATTCCCTTTCATGAGTATGTGTCGCCTTATGAATTTCATATGAACTTATTGACAAAATCAACAGAACTAAGAACAATGGATTTTTTTTTTTACTTCCCAAGGTGGTTTCTAAAGTCCTGCCCAGAGAGTATATTAGGCCGGTCATTCCCTTTCATGAGTATGTGTCGCCTTATGAATTTCATATGAACTTATTGACAAAATCAACAGAACTAAGAACAATGGATTTTTTTTTTACTTCCCAAGGTGGTTTCTAAAGTCCTGCCCAGAGAGTATATTAGTGGGTGGTGGAAAGGACACAAGTGACCTTCCCTTCCAGATTGGTGAGAAAATATTTTATATATCCTGTTTTGTGTTTTGCAGTCGGTAAGATTTGGTAATGCTTTTGAAAGAAGTCTCTTAGGCTCACCACGAATGCATTTATTTGATCCAAAATACAGTAAAAACAGTAATAATGTGAAATATTATTTAACTGTTTTCTATTTGAATATCTTTTAAAATGTAATTTATTCCTGTGATGGCAAAGCTGAATTTTCAGCAGTCATTACTTCAGTCTCCAGTGTCACACGATCCTTCAGAAATCACTGTAAAATGCTGATTTGGTGCTAAAAAAAATTATTAGAAACATTTTCTAAATGAAGTTGAAAATGGTCGTGCTGCCTATTCTTTTTTTAGGATTCTTTGATGAATAAAAAGTTCAAAAGAACAGTATTTATTTAAAACAGCAAATTTTGGAATGTAAAATTACAACATTTGAAAAAGCTGCAAAGCAAAAAGCTTTAGAATAAAAAGGGAAAAAATTAGAAAATGATTGAGGATAAGTGAAGAGGGTAAGTGGTTATAAGCTGCACACAAAATCTGGAGGATTTACTCTGAGATTTATATATTTAGAAACTTTTTAGGAACTAAAAAAAATTTTTTTTTAAATAATAATGTAACAGTGCGGCATTGTCATCGTCACAATTTAACTCTACCACAATTGTAACAATATCTGTCACAGCAGTAGGGGTCTGTGAGACCACAGAAGAGTATGATGCCGACGGGCCAGATGAACTGAGTTTCCAGGCTGGTGAACGAATCATCATCCTGGGCCTGCTGGTGGCCTGTTTTGATTGGTTTATGGGAAAATTGGAGAGAACTGGGGATATCGGACTCGTCAAAACCAAGCTGGTCAAAACAACCAGTTCATTTAGTGAGTAAGTGCTTGTATCATTTTATGAATATTCCAAGTAGAATTTCTGCCATGTGGTTTGTCTTAAATGACAGTTTTGCACACGATACTTTATAACTTTATCCTGTGCTTCCATTGCAGATCATCTGACATATTCTTGAAAGACGAGGACAGACAAATTGCTACCTTGGATCAGGACAAAATTAAAGAGGACACTATTGCTTTATTGAAGAAAATATGCCAGTCTGATGTTGGCACAAACTACAAACTCGGTAAGGCTCACAGGAATTTGAATATTCACATTTTAGCATTTATGTTTTATTTGCCTTTACAACGGTATCTGTGCTATGAACAGCATTTGTCTAAGAAAAAAAAAAAAAAAAAAAAAAAAGGGGCGTTCCTAACAGACCACAGAGGTAGAATTACAGGCACAAAGCAAAATTGGACCATTTGACCTTGTAATGTTATTCAAAAAATGTCAAAAATCGATCTTCCAGTGAAAATGGCAGCCTTCTTTCTGGTAACATACTGTATGCTGGACCAATTATTTAGTTTGCTTAAACTATACCCCTTTCTTATAACTGACTGCAAACAAACATTCTGCCTCCATCCAATCAATAGCCGATTGACAATGCATCGGCTTGCACTGAACCACAAGAATAGTGTTAAATACAGACTAAATCCAGAGGAACAGTGGCAACGTTTCCAAGATGCTTCAAGAAACCTACCTGCAAAGCTACAGTACTGTTAAAAGTACAGTACAGTACTGTGTGGAGCACTGGCTGTTATCAGACTCCTTGTACAAACAAAAATCTCACTGGATTATCATAATTAATGACAAAATGAATGTTTGGAAATGTAAACTGATATTTCCTACTGACACACTACCGCAAAAGATAGAAATAACGGACTTAAAACCATTTTTTAGCTGGTGAAAATACTAGTGTTCTAATAAGTTTGGCCACCACTGTATTTAATAAATGTTTATGCGCAGGATTTCAATTCTGCTTCATCATAGCAGTCCATCATAGCTGCTTTGTTGTTGTATTCTGGTGTGGGGAAACCAATCCCATTAAAGGGGTCATATGATGCTGCTAAAAAGAACATTATTTTGTGTATTTGGTGTAATGAAATGTGTTTATGCAGTTTAAAGTAAAAAAAAACACATTATTTTCCACATACTGTACATTATTGTTTCTCCTCTATGCCCCGCCTTTCTGAAACGTGAAAATTGAAATTGCATCATATGACCCCTTTAAGACTAAATTTACTATTATATTTATTAAATTTAAAACAGCTGCTGAATCACTGAAATGCTTGTAAGGCAGATGTCTTACTAAAGCTGTCAAATTACAGATTTGCCTATTTTCCCTCAAGTGGACCATTCACAGTTTTGTAGGCCTAAGTTACATCTGGACTACTAGCAGTTTTTTTTTTTTTTGCATTTTAATGAAGTTACTTTAAATAATTGTAAGTAATCTTGTGGCCCCATTGAATGTTTACTGGTTAAGAACTGATAATAGCTCATAACAGAACAGTGTGGGGAGGAATAGCCTAAATTAAGAAGAAGTAAGAGGGATTTTTGTTGTGGGGGCTTCTGCACACGCACCTTCCTGCATTTGATGAGATGGTATGGGAACCGACAGGCCCGGATCAGATGATGTGGGTCATAGGGGCACAACAGCAGTTTGTCAGGGTTGCAGAAATCTGTAAAAAGCCGTAATAATGAAAGCAGCTTATTTAGTGCTGATGTTATTGGCGCTCAATCAGCGTTTTACCTTGAACTTCTTCCCATCGTGGAGCTGTAATAACGGGCTTCGTGTCGCTGCCTTTCTTCGGCATCTTTCTCAGTCACTGTCCAGCGGATTTCAATGCTAAAACAGAACGTCGTTATCACTAACACGGTCGTCTACAAATCGCGGTGCTCATAAAAACAACGCTTTCATAGCGGTAGAGAGAAATAATACTTAAGGTTGCGCGGGGTAATGTGTTTGTGGGTTATATTTTCACGTAAATTACAGACAGTCAGCACAGGGCCACAACAGTTCTGAACTTACAGAGATGGGACGTTACTCTTGTATGTTCTTCTGCCGCGTAATCAATAGTGCTTAAGCACCTGACGCGATTTACATTATTAGGCCACTTGAGGCGCTACAGCGCACGGAAATGAACCAGCATGACAGCAAACATGACTTGATTTAAATATTTGTGTAACATGTCTTAATTCTTTCTTAATTTGTTTCCTTTAACAAACGTTTGTTTTATTTGTTTTGCATGCCACAGATCTAGCAAAAGAAATTCCAGGATCAGTTCAAAGTGAGTAAATATCTATCTATCTGTTTGTTCATTCAGAGCAAATAAAATGAAACTAACTATAAGAATAGCCTACATAGTTACATATACATACATATATAATGTTATATGTGTAAAGGTCAGTGTTGGGGGTAATATATTACAAGTTACTTAATCAGATTACTTTTTTCAGGTAACTAGTAAAAAACTACTTTTTAAATTTACAAGAGAATATCTGAGTTACTTTTTCAAACTTTTTTTTTTCTTTCAGTTTATTGATTGACAGCTCTCCTGTCCCCATGTTGAGAGAAATCAGATGTTACTGTAGTTCAAAATAAATATGAATATGCATATTCATCTCAAAAACACAGATTCAGTATTCCTCAAAATGAATAAAAACAATGCAACTCAGAATATGACGGAGTCTTATTCATTTCAATTTTGGTGTGAAAAGGCTTTTATATTTGCCAAAAATAGAACTTTTTTATTTTAAAATCAAACAAGCAAGCCCTGTCCAGATTTAAAAAGTAACGCAAAAGTAACGTAACGCATTACTTTCCATAAAAAGTAACTAAGTAACGTAATTAGTTACTTTTTTTATGGAGTAACGCAATATTGTAATGCATTACTTTTAAAAGTAACTTTCCCCAACACTGGTAAAGATTGATAGTTAGGATGGGCTAATTAAAATAATGATCTGTTTATTTGTATTTTATTTATTAGTTTATTCTTTGTCTCCAGACAAGACTCATCAGACAGAATTAAACAACCTAAAACAGAAAGTCAAACACATTTTGAGTGAGGTAGATGAGTCTCAAAGAACTGAGGTTTCATCAGTCAGCAGCAAGCAACAGATGAAGAAAGAAGCGGATGATACAGAGTGGTCCCGGGAAATCCCACGGTTTTCTGTCTGCTTAGAGCAGGACAACAGCAGTCCAGATGTACATCATGCAATGCTTTCATTCTTGAGCAGCCGTGACCACCAGCCGGAGTTCCTGCTTTTGTACAGGGCTTACCCAGAATTCCTCATCTCACATTTCGAGGGTCACTCTGATGAAGAGGAGATAGTGGCGTATTTAGGCGTAGCCCGAGAACTGGCACGAAAGAAGCATGTCTCTTGGGCGCAGAGTCGAATTTGTTTTCTTCTTGGACAGCTTTGTGCAGGGAGGTCAAAGTTCTCTCAAGCTCGGGTTTATTATGAGGAAGCCTTGAATGTACCCAGGGACTGTTTCACAGACATGTTTCTGCTCTCTGCCATTTACTCCAACCTGGCACTCATCTACCTAACACAGAAGAACCATGAAAAATGTGTCCGTTTTTCAGAGCGCTTGTCTGCCTTGTTGATGGCTGTGCCTGATTGTTTCTTTGGCTGTGAGGATCCTGAGGTATTCAAATATGTGCTAAAAAAAGCTGTCCTGGCTAAGAATCAGCCTGCTGAGGCACGGGCCTGCTTCCTCCTGGCAAAGCTCCACCTGAAGCTTAAAGACGGCATGAGTGCAATCCCATTCATTGAAAGGCTTTTGATCCTTGCTGATGAAGTTCCTGACGCATGTGATGAGACATTGAGCCAAGTTTTCCTGGTGTTAGCAAGACTCTACAGTGACCAGAGACTGCTACGCTTGGCTGAAAGCTGTGCAAAGCGAGCATCACTTCAGGTGGGTGCTATACCTTGATAGTGGTTTCAGGAAGCACTTAGTAGGAGTGTGTCAGTAGGAAATATCAGTTTACATTTCCAAACATTCCTTTTGCCATTAATTGTAATAATCCAGTGATATTTTAGTCTTACAACAGTCAGTGCTCCACACAGAGATCTGATCTGATCATCATCCAGTCTGTCTGGAATGACATGAAGAAACAGAACAAACTGAGACAGACTAAATCCAGAACTGTGGCAACATCTCCAAGGTGCTTCAAGTGACCTACCTGCAAAGCTACCTGAAAAACTGTGCACCTAGAGCAGGGTGTCAAACTCAGTTCCTGGAGGGCCGCAGCCTTGCATGGTTTAGTTCCAACACACATACCATGTAGTTTTCAAATAAGCCTTAACGACTTGATTAGCTGGATCAGGTGTGTTTAATTAGGGTTGCATCTAAACTGTGCAGGGCTGTAGCCTTCCAGGAACTGAGTTTGACACCCCTGACCTAGAGCAAAAGCTGCTTTAAACACCAAATGTTGATTTAATTTAGTTAATAGACATTATTTGATAAAGAAATCAATTTATGACATTATTTTTGACAGCATTTTCATTTGACAGCATTTTTACACACGTCCCTAAAACTTTTAACAGTACTGTAGTTTTACAGGTAGGTCTCTTGAAGCACTTTGGAGATGTTGCCACAGTTCTTTTGGATTTAGTCTGTCTCAGTGTGTTCTGTTTCTTCATGTCATTCCAGACAGACTGGATGATGATCAGATCAGATCTCTGTGTGGAGCACTGGCTGTCTCTCTCCTTGTGCAAACAAAAATCTCACTGGATTATTACAATTAATGACAAAATGAATGTTTAGACATGTAAACTAATATTTCCTACTGACACTAAATAACTGACTTAAAACCATTTTTTTAGCTGGTGAAAATACTAGTGTTCTAATAAGTTTGGCCACCACTGTATATATATATATATATTAAATAAAACATACATTTATTTATAATAATAGGTTAATTGTTTTATAAGTAAATGTATTTAATAATTTGTAATTTAATAAAAAAATGATTTAATAGATAAATTAACTAAATAAAAAAATTAAGATAAATAAATGAAAAAATGAAATAAGTTAATTAAATTAAAAAAGAAAGGATTTGTCCATTTATCCATTCTCTTTCACAGGCAGCAGCACTGTGTCACAGCAAATATTAAATAAAATTTGTTTTATTTAAATAATAAAATAACATGAAAAATGACATTATAATTACAATTATTATTATTAGATTTTGTTTAATTAAACAATAAATTAAATAGTTAATACAATTATTAATATATTTAATTCATTAATTTAATTTAAAAATGAACAACATTTTTTAAATTAATCAAATTATATAAATTGATTTATGCATTAATCCGTTCTCTTTCACAGGTAGGAGCCACCGTGTCACACTGTCTTTGCAGTATCTCGCTATTGTTGGAAAATGCATCAGAGCTGTATGGAGTGGCCGTCCCAACACAAGTGGCTCCATACCTGACCCGTGCCGCTGCTTTAGTGTCCCCCAGCATGGAGCCTGTGCTGGGTCATATCCACGCTCTATGCTTGTCCTGGCTCTTCCATATCCACGGCATGCCTGACAGAGCTGTTCGCTACATGTCCACTGTCCTCGACCACAGCGGTGTGTCCAGCGTCGGCCAGTCAGACACTACTGCTGCTCTCCTATGGTTGGCGTGGCTGTACATCTGCAACCAGCAACCCGGCACAGCTCTGGAAGTGCTAGACGCTGTGCTGTCATCGCTTCCTGAGCACTGTACTACTCAGCTGGAAGGAGTGGTTTACAACATGCGGGCCATTTCATACAGACATTCAGTGGACATCCGACAGGCCACTGAGAGTTACCGGGCTGCAATTGAGATATGCGAGGAGTTTGAGGATAGACGTAACTGGGCCATATCACTGGCCAACTTTGGATTCATGTGTTTGCAAATCAAGGCAAAAAGATTGGCAGAGGAATACCTCACTCAGTCAGTGGAGCTGTTCTCTGAGCTTGAGGACGAAGAGCATGAACTCAGTTTTATTTTAGTGCTTCTTGACTTGGGAAAACACTTTGTTTCCCAAGGAAACCATGAGAGTGGGAAGTTATACTACGAATGGGCCCTGCTGAGTGCCATGTTTATCAGTCACATAGATAGTAAGTGTTTATCATAATTGTATTAGTGCAAGTATCAGTATCTAGAACAGTTTGATGTAAGGACATCTATAGTGAGACATTACAGTTTGGTTTCTGATTGTAAGGGAACATAAAACTACAAATTACTTGATATAATTTCTTAAGGTGATAATTCAAACAAACTTAACTTTGTCATCAATTACTAACCCTCACTGTATTCCAAACCAATAAGACTTTCGTTCAGTGAACATATTTTTTAATTAAACCTGTGAGATTTCTGTATGTTGAAGGTCCATTCCACCTAAAGTTTGATGTTTAAAAAAAATTCATAATTACATCATAAAAACAATCCATAAAACATTGAGCAGTTTAATCCATTCCAGTCTTCTGAAGGTATACCATTGCTTTATATTATGAACAGATTTAATTAAGGCTTTTATTTACATACAAACATGAATTAACGCACATACATTGGAAAGTCGGCCATATTTGACGTGCGAGAACAAACCTCATTGGTTCTTGCATTTGGCTCAAACATGCTTGCGACATGTGAGAACAAACTTCATACATGGCGTGTGAGAACAAGACGACTTGGATTAAATCTCTAAATTCATATGGATTACTTTTACAATGTTTTGATCAACTTTTTAAAGCATCAAAGTGTTATAACAGTGGAGAGACCAATCTATCAGTTTCATTAAAAATATCTTCATTTGTGTTTCAAAGATGAATGAATGTCTTGTCAGTTTGGAATGATATAAGTGTTAGTAAATTATGGCAGAATATTTATTTTTGGGTGAACTATCCCTTTGATACTTGTCCATAGTGTTGTTCATGTCTGTGGACATTATTCTGAATAAAAAATGCATTCATAAATTTAACCACCTTGCTACATTCTATTATGTCCACATCCAGTCCAGTTTATTATCAGGTTTGCTGATCACCAGACTTACCTCTCCAAAATATATTCTTCTTTGTATGACATCAGGTCAGCTGCAAGCCACACGTCACCTGTGTCAGCTTTACGAAGAGGTGTGTCCGGATGAAGCCCAGTGTATCATCTACAACGAGCACCAGCTGAACCTTCTTCAGCGGATTGGAGACAAGAGCTTAGAGGGAGAGATACTGGAGAAGATCAGCCAGCTGTACCTGAACCTGGCTACCAAGAAGTGAGACCTGCTTATTATAAGATTTACGAGAGATGTTGTGAACATGTACTGCAGTACAAGAGATAGTTCATCCAAAAATTAAGAATTTTTTGTAGTCATTTACTCACCCTACCTCACTCCATTGTTGAATGTCATTTTATTGGCTTTCTTCTATGAAACATAAATGACATTTTTTGAGAAATGTCTCAGTGTTTTTTTTTTTTTTTCTTCAAAATTACGGTTAGTGATAACCAACTGGTCAACATTCTTCAAAAATATCTTCTTTTGTAATAAACGAAACTCATATAGGTCTGGAATGACATGAGGGTGAGCAAATGATGACATTTTATTTTTTGGGTGAATTATATAATAAACTTCTCACTCCATTTATGTATCCAGGAAAGATATATTGGTTTAGTCCAAAGTTGTTGCAATAATAATGAGTTGCCAGCAGTAAGGCATCACACATTATTATAAAGACTTACTAAAGTTTATCATGTCGTCTCACAGAGCCAATAGAGCTGCTTTAGATTACACTAAACGAAGCCTGGGCATCTTCATTGACTTGGGCAGAAAACGCAAGGAGGCTCATGCCTGGTTAAAGGCTGGAAAGATTTACCACATCCTCCAACAGACCGAGCTAGTGGACCTCTACGTGCAGGTGAAAGCTGCCTTCATTTTTGCATTTCTGCCTAAATTGTTAGGCGTTACTGTTACTGGAACCATAGGCAGGTTAAATTAAAGCATAAATTAAAGATCTAAATCAAATTTAAATATTTTTATTATGTGAACTTTGTATATACATCATTTACAGATCTACATATATTGACTGATGTAATCTAATGGTGAGAACACAACTCCTTCAGTATCTTTTATAATCATTTATTTAAGTTGCACCTTGGAGTGTGCTGAAGGTTTATATATAAATATTTATATTTACAGTAGCTTTAATTTATTTTGAGGAATTGTAATACTTCTATTTGAACTCATAAAGCATTATTTCTAATAATTTAAATTCTTCATATAATTTTTATATTTTATTTCAGTTTTATTTAAGTTAATGAAAAACATTTGTTAATAGTTTCAACGTTGGCGCAGAGCTGTAGTCTAGACAAAGTATGGCAGCTCGAAGAAGCTAAAATATTTAGATATGTTTTCATTTTTGGCCAGTATTTAATTCCCACATTCTATTTGTGTTATTTCATCATTTTAATGACTTAAATGATGAAATTAGCAATAATAAGGAATGAGTAGGTGTGTACGTGTGTGTGTGTCATGGCCGCAGCGGAGTGCATTTGGGCTTTCCACATACCCGCATGAATTTCTAGCAGCAGCAACCGTTGTAACTGCCAGCGCTAATGCAGGGAAGTGAGTGCATTTTGATATGGCTGACTTAAAGGAACACTCCACTATTTTTGAAAATAGGCTAATTTTCCAACTCCCCTAGAGTTAAACAGTTGAGTTTTACTGTTTTCGAATTCATTCAGCCGATCTCCGGGTCTGGCGGTAGCACTTTTAGCTGTAGCTTAGCATAGATCATTGAATCTGATTAGACCGTTAGCATCTCGCTCAAAAATGACCAAAGAGTTTCTATATTTTTCCTATTTAAAACTTGACTCTTCTGTAGTTACATCATGTACTAAGACCGACGGAAAATGAAAAGTTTCGATTTTCTAGCCGATATGGCTAGGAACTATACTTTCATTCCGGTGTAATAATCAAGGAACTTTGCTGCTGTACCATGGGTGCATCAGGCGCAATGATATTATGCAGCGCCTGAAAATAGGCTAACTTTCATCAACATAACCAACGTGACCACCTGCTTGCACAGGGAGCGTGCTGGGGACTATTTTCAGCAGCAAAGTTCCTTGATTATTACATAGGCCTAGAAAATCGCAACTTTTCATTTTCCGTCGGTCTTAGTACATGATGTAACTACAGAAGAGTCAAGTTTTAAATAGGAAA